GAAAGTTCTAACAGAAGAAATTTATTGTTTCCCCCCCCACAAATACACCTAAATATAAAGATACGATTTCCACATTAAATTAAGCCTGACGTGACAGTTTTGACAAATTACAGGTAATATCAAATATAGGCTCTAAAGTAGCAATCATGATTTGTCTGCAATTTTGTTGGCATTTAATCTTTTTACCCTTGCACTGGTGATATGTAATAAGACAACTAGCCTTTTCAATTCCATCGTACTGTTCCTGAAACACTGTAAGATTCTCTGAGTCATGAAACGATCTGTGCCAGCATTTGTTTTGATAAAACACGTCACAAGTAGTCTATTTATGTATTTATAACATTACTGAAAGTATCTTTCTGAATCGTTATCCCAAGTTTGAACGGAAACCGATAGTGAAAACCAAAACTTCCACATCCTCCCACTCTCTGGAAAATTCTCTCTCGTACACTGACGGATTCGGAACGTTAATGCGTTTATCGTCTAGAAATACTCTAGTGTTAATAAAAGTTCAAGTAAAACACAGCCTGCCTTAGGGCACCATGACATAACGAAAAAAAGCAAAAATAAATTAACTACCTAAGAATCTGCACGGCGTCACAACCCAGAACTACATCGTCAAAGATGTTGGCATTAATAATGATTAATATTTATGCATTCAATTCGGTAATAAAGTCAATTAACATTTAATTAATGCTCTATCTTGTAGGAAAATATTTTCTACCCAGAATATTATCGTAGAAGCCCCAAGAGTTAATGGTACCATTTCCATTTTTTTTATAAGCACTACTCTGACAATTATTTAATCTACTTGCTATATGATAAATAACCTTCCACGTACCTATTCGTCTACAGACAATATTCATAGATTCCGAAAAGAAAATATTATCTCAATTGTAGTGTGAGTTCATCTGTGTTTTAAACAAGAAACGTATATCTTTTAATAAATTTTATGTAAAACCTTTACCAATAGAAGCCACAAGACTGTCGTACTTTTTAGTTTTGAATTATCAATAATAAAAAACACGGCAAACATGAATTTATGAGGTGGTACATAATGAAGGACCTTGAATTGGCGAGGTAATAAATCCCCGGAAAACATAACTTTTGTAAAGGCAATTATAGTAGAATGAAAAATAAAAACATGGCGTCCGCTGAAATCTGTATTTAGCGCCCAGACTGATGGCGATAAATAATGTAGACCGTCATTGGAGTTATTAACGTGAAATTTCGTACTGAGATATTTCAAAAGGATCCCGAAACGTAAACAAATTTCATGGACAACTTTTTGTAGGTTAAGAATTAGAAATATGGTGACGGTGCGAAAAATAACGTAGTCAGAATCTCAAGATTATGTACAAAATGAATCGAAACATTTTGTAATTATAAATCTATAGTTTCCGTTACCCTCAACAAAATAAAAGAACATGTTACTTTACTTTACAACCAGCAAAGAATGGAAACTTATGGTGGGGTAAAGGTTCACTACCACGCACGACAAGTCTCCGGACCTTTTTGCATTACACGTATATCTAAAGCTAAAAATAACTAATTTCTTATCTCCCTGACCAAGGGGTCAGGTAGTACCTCTAAAACGTCGGTACATTTCTGGGAGACAACACGGTGCAATGACCTAAAGGAGAGTCATCTTCAAACTCGCCGCTGTGAAAATCTGAAATCTCACTAATTTAAAACTGTTTATGCAGCGTGTACGAGGTAACACAAATTTAAGTGTCAATTTTACACTGCTGAGTGACCGGAACAATGAAACAAAATTTGTGTTTTGTCAGAAGGTACTGACGTTATTTAGACCACAATAGAACCATAAAGCGACGGGGTAAACTACTGGCGTCAACATTATCGAAAGTGTTTTGTACATATGTAACAGTACATTAAGCACGTCATAAAACGCCTACCTCCTTCCTAGTGACTAATGTAACCGACACACATGGATGCGTATTCCATTAAACCACTAGACGAAACTAATCAGCAAAATACAGTCTGCACAAAAGGTTACTGCACTAATCCATCCCAGGACTCAGTGTCATGGCACACTGCGTTTATATTCAGGAAATATTGGTTAAGAATCCAGGTTTGAGTAAGGTTCTTCAAAGTTCCTCACTCGAAGATGGCCGACTTCTAGGTTGTAACGCCGTGCAGTCTGGTAGATGTTCACCAACGGTTTAGAGGTCTTGCTGCCTCCACCATCAGGGCTATCACCACCCTGATAATGGAGGCAGCAATTACATCTGAAACATGCGTAAACCTCTTCCAGACTACACGGCCCCAAAACCACGTACGTACTCATCGCCCTGAGAACCTCAAATATTATTCCTCACTCTTCAGACGAATAAAAAATAATGTAAAATAGGTCACGACAGGCTTTTTCCAAACCTGTAGTCTGCTTACCCTCAATGATCATGTTCCTACGAGATTTATCTCTGTAGCTGAAGCAGCATCATTAAAATTGCTAAAGATTTTATCAGTACTGCAGTATGGAAAGGAAACTTGTTAATTGTAAACATTAATTGTGTATTCTGTTCCTGAAGTCCGGTTTTCTCAGGCCCCTTAGAGGCCTAAGCCTAGTTCATTCAGGGGGGAAAAAGAGATAAAATTTTTGCCCTCTTCCACTCTCTACCTGATGACGAAAGCAGGACATAGCTTTCGAAACGTCGTAATGTTTTTACAATGTTGTAATTCAGACGATAGACGAAATAAAAAAAGGAATCGACACCAGAAACCCCCAGACTTCGGCGATGCTGAATTTTACTTTTCAGAAAATAAACTTCCGTCAGTCTTTTGCCATCTTATATACGAACGCAGAAAATTCAAAGCGAGACTCAACTCCAGTAAAACTTTACAACGTCTGCAATTTGCAGAACTTGAATCAAGATTATTTCTAAATCACCGTATGAACAGCAGTCTCCAGTCTCAACTACAAACTTTCATGAGTAGGAGACTTCTTAATATTGTATAAAATCGTCTAGCTATTATTATCAGTGGTTTTCTCAGAGGCCTCAGGATTCCTCGCAAATTTATTTTTCTCAACGTTGCCAGTTTATTTAAATTGATTGTACCACCGCTGCAAACATTTATCATCAGACAGATTACATTGATACATAAGATAAATCTGGGGAAACAACTTCTGAATTACAAGCTGGACGTATGTCGAGCCAGAAACTGAGCTCGTATCAAAACAATACTCCTAAAATAAAGACAGAGATTATCAGATTCAGTCTGGACCTAAACTGGTTACATCCTAATTATGAAAATCGTACGGAATATGTTTTGTGGATTTATTCTCATACAGGAGAACATTATTAATTCAACATCTAACCGCCTTCGTGTTTTTAAGATCCGTAAATAAAATGTAAATGCAGTTTCCATGTTTAACTGAAATGGTCAATAGGAGTACAGTTTCCTATAGAATATTAAAACTACTGAGAAGTTGATAATCTCGGTTTACATTTCTACAGAGGTACAATCCGGACGGATTCTTCTGACTCTTCAGTTCTGGTATAAACTTTTAAGAGTTGCTGTTGGATTTCCAAACGGGCACGACCGGGTCATTAATAGAGGAAAATGTGGTTAAACAGTACTGTGTAATCGCCGAATAATACACCGTTCAATAGTACCGACGGACACCTGCAGTTGTATCGCAGAAATTTCTTTGGACGTCTACCTTACCAATGGGATTACAGATTTAATGCGCCCCACTAAAGAGGTAAATTTTCTTATACCTAAACTCGAATTATAATCAGCCTTCGAAACGTCGAACTTAATTTTTGTGCAGACTATGGACACCACGAAAATAAAATTCTCGCATAACAATACTAAATAAACACTATTTTCAAAGTTATTATATTCGTGTTTTCTGTAAGTGAATTATATGTAATTAATGGGATTATTTTTTTTAAAATAACGATTAACAATCATCTCGTCCTTTAAATTATTTTTCAGCGCATACACATTGAACCTCGAGATCTGTGTCCACTCAGAATTACTTCTAAAAAAATTAATTTCCGCCCTGGACGGGAATCGGAGCTTTTTAAGGCATCCACCTACACGGTAAATAGAATCGCGGACCAACAACCATCCCCAGGGTGATACTGTAGCCCACGAGCCCAGATTTCGAATAGCGCAATATGAAATAAAGCAAACACAAAGAGAACAGGATATTTTAATCATATTAACATGAATGATGGCAAAGGAAATAAAATATTATATCCATACTTTTTAAATTTTTCGTGGCAGAATATTTTATTACGACGAAGAAGTGAGGACCAAAGGGGTACTCAATGTTACCATCACAGATGATCGAAATTGCCTCGTGTCTAACGGAAACTTCGGTTTCTGCTACCACAGCGTTAGTCGCTTATCACTGTTTGTTCACCGTGTAAATCTGTTCAAAACAGACAGCCGCATGGGTAAATTTCTAGAATTGTGTTTGGGACGTATCCTATTCAAATCTCGACCAGGTTATCGAATATATTGATCGAGATTCTTCGTGACTTCCTTCAGTATCTCCTGACTAATGCTAACTCTCTCCAATATTTTCAGACTGAATTAAATTGCTGCGTATTTTGTGCTGTCCAAATCGAATAGTTAATCACAGAATAAATCAATCAGGCTGAAGAACGTTTCATTATGTGGTAAATAACGAATAAACAACGATATTAGGCCAAATTAATTAGCGTATAAACCGACAGGAACGCTGTCACTGATACTGAATTGTATATGAATGTGCACGTCTGTTTTTTTCCCCGATACCGTGCAGTGCTGCGTGGTAAACCTACGATCACCGTGATGATCCAATTCTGTTGTTAACGCCGAAACCTGGGGTGACCCTAAACGGCATGCATAGGCCCAGAAGGGCACCGGGCTGCATAAGAAAGGCTACAGCTCTTCCGCGCAGCTCAGGGACGCGTCATCACCGCTGTAGAGGATGGCGGGCGGTTTGGCTTGTCGGCGGCAGGCGTCGTGGCAGTCTGCTTCCACACTTGGTTCGCGTCACGTCGCGTCTGCATTATAACCAGCTGCCATCGCCCCTGCACCAACACCACGCATGTCACGGTCCGTGTCAGCGGTAAAGTTTCGCGTGATTTTCAATGTCGCTCAGTGTCGTGACATTACTTAATCGAGTCTTATTTGCAGAGAAGTCTGACTAAGTTTGTTATTATACTTCGGTATGGAATACAGTGTCGTAAAGTACTACAGGACTCTAAACAAGTGATGAGCGACAGGATCAAAGCTTGGAAATAAAAAAAAATAAAGTGTTAAAATGTTCATTTTGGGAGTGTTTGAAAACTATTTGATAACTGAAAATCAATAAACGTGAAAGAACCAAAAAATCAATACTTGATAAATTCTAAGCGTGCCAAACCTTCGTATCGAACTACAATACAATAATATTAACATAACTTCCGATTATTTACATATGATATATTAATTCTGTAGCAAATGTCTTTGTCGGATGTTCGTGCTGTCAACAAGAAACTTTATTTTGTATAGAATTTGTGTAATTGCTAAATCGTGAGTGCGTACTGTAAGTTGTGTTTCGTACGCGTGTGATTTGGTGTGAAGTTTAGTTTCCACCAACCATCTGCTGGATTTGAGTAGTGTTCTCTACCTCATTTTGATTTTACGGTCTCCTCAAAGTGCTAGTGTTTATTATACCACCACGGCACACCTGCTTTTCAGTGTGACACTTATATATATCCTTACGCTGCACTAAAAAATAATTGTAGCTGCCAAGTAATTCGTTTTTATTTTGTTTTAGCGACAACGAAACATTTAGTCTTCCTGCTTACTTTAAGAAGAAGTTCAGTCGTTACACACAGAAGATGCTTCCGCCAGTCACAAATTCATAAAATAAATAAAAAAGAAAAAAGGAAGAAAGAGAAAAATGAATTTAGAAAAAGAAATACGGGATGTAGTATTCTAAAGGGCGTCTTGGCGTTTGCTCAAATTTTTAATACACGTGACAGAAATGACTACCAATGCCGATGCTGGCAGAACTCATAAGTTTTAGATTTAATGAGCGTCTCTACATTTCCGTTTTGGCGTCGCGATTTGAAATCGCATTCTGTTTGTAAAGAGGTCGTCTTTCTTCTGGCTTGTTCCTTCCAAGACTGTTAATCTCTGTACGCCTGACGAATTTCCTCAAGTTTAGGTTTATTGGACCTATAAGCCATTAAGAAACGTACAATGTATCTTTTGTGTGTACAGTTGTTAATCGTGCTTATTTTCCAGTAGTACACAGCAGTCAGCACAAAACTTATCATCTTACGAAGTTTATTTTATGCCCAGTAAATTTAAAGGAAATTTCAAAGAATATCAAAGTTAAGGTCCTATAAAAGTTCTAAGATTTTCAGTTCAGTGAATTAATCTCTGAGTCCGCCACTCTCGGTTTATGATGATTCAAGAAAGCCACTATTCTTCCTAGCAGAAAAACTGATTGCTTCACTGCAGAGCGTAAACTTCTACGAAAAGCGAAGGAAGAAAAACGATTTATGCGTCAGCAGCGGACAAACACGAAATTTCTCAGAATAACTCATCGAAATTTCATGAATTATCACGCCTGAAACATTCCGAACGTATTTTATCTCTTTGTGTGAAAAATTCGTGTGTCTTTCCGAGATTCAAAAACAAATATAAATCACCTCTTGTTTCTAATAAAAGAATCCTTTTACAAAGATAAACAGATAAGAATTCTATGCATTTTTCTAAATGAATCAGTAGGAATCCGTTTGTATAAGACAGAAAACTGCAAAGTGAAACATTGGTGAAGACATTCTGCCCCCCCCAGAAAGCTGTTTCTTCGTTCACATGTACCTGGGAACTCGGACCATTGTGTCTGGCGTCGACACGAAAAACTCGAGGACTACAGCTACCGCCATGGTCCAATGGGCGATCTCCAGAGCCCTCTCCCTACTTGGATTCGCCATTTTGGTTCACCTCATTGTCATGACTTCCGTAGCTGAGAAAGGTAAGGCTATTCAACACGAGCTAAATAATTTTAACAAAACTTAAATCTACTGAAGCTTCTAATCTGTCCTAGAAGAATGGAATACCGCTGTGCTAAAATAAATAATTTTAACAAAACTTAAATCTATTGAAGCTTCTAATCTGTCCCAGAAGAATGGAATACCGCTGTGATAATCGCATTTCAAGAACATGTAGATAGATCATCGTCATTATCATCATTAGCCTCCTGCATCCAAGGTTCATATCGTTATCCGGGTCGATACATCGATACCGTAGACAGAAAAATTAAGACGTTGTTTAGTACATCTTAGATTTCTAAACAATGCAAGATATAAGAAAAAAACTTGTATATATGATTATATGGCACAGATATAACTAAATTTATAATTTGATTAGAAATATAATAGCACTGGAAATTAACGAGCAGAACGCTTGGTAATTGGACGAAATTCAAATAACTGGAACCACCAATTTTAAAATGGAGTCGGAACAGACTAACCAGGCCTGAATTATGAAGTCGTATATGACGACCGTTTAACACGAAATCCTGCATTTAGCACAGGCCTGTTCGTATTAAAACTTCGCAAAGAACACGCGAACCTCACTATTACGCCTTAAGTTTGGTTCTCGCATGGGTGTACTGAGAAACGGTCCGCAAAGTCTCGACTTCTGATGTTGCAGTAAATTTTAATAATTTGTACTGTGTGAAAGCCTTGCACCTATTGCTTTATCGACGTGTTTTTCAACGGGGAGTCCTTGGACCCCTGGTGTCTCAAAGTTGTGCCTAAGTAGTCCGCGAGTTGTGTAGACTTTAATCTATTTTTGATGCTGCATTACTGGAGGTTGTAAGCATTTCAGATCACATTTTGTCGTCTCGAATTGGGGTAAAACATTAAGAAAAACTATACTCTCTATCTATATGTTAGATAGACTGTTTAATAAAAATGTATGATGAAATTTTGCGGATTGGGTACTTGGTACTGAAAGGGTTCAGAAACACTGTTTTTATCACTTCGTAAATTTTACTTTGGCTTTGAAGAGATTTATAAATAAAAGTGATTAAAAACTAGTAAATACTACCAGCACTAGAAAGTACTTTACGTAAAAGGCGACTATTGCATGGATTTGTTTGCTGTTCAAGGAACTTTGTGCAAACAAACGTGTACCTCAACCCTCGAAATTTTAACGTGTTCTTCGAAAAATAGAAAATAATGACTTCCATTAACATATACACAGAGAAGAATTGGAACTCGGCATGGACAGGAGATGCCAAATCCGCTGAGCATGTATTGAAATCCTCAAAACTAAAGTAATGCAATTAGATTTATTAATGTTATGTAAAATGAGGTTTTTCGTTAAATGAAAAGTTTAGAGTAATTTACTGTGCTTTCTGAAAAAAAGGTATTAGCCGCAGAATAAATGTTTTCATGTAAATGAACTAAAAATATAACCTAAAAACTCCTTCTATACAATTATTGACGTATACCACTTTAGCTTTGATCAGTTCAATTATGAATATGACATTTTCCAAACCTGCTAACTCAGTCAAATTAATAAACTGATCAAACATCACGATCGAGCCATTTCCATTTCTATAAAAAAAATGTTGTTGACTGCAATTCCAGAACATAAAATGAGGCCACACTGACTTCAAATATTTCATAAAAACATGCCTATGAGTGTGTTATGAACAGCCCTTTTTAGCAGCCGCATATGAATATAAATCTGCCCTAACAAATGAGCAGAATAGCTGTGTGAGGCAGACAACATTTTCTAGGTGGATTAATTACATTTTGCTTCTACATATTTTTTTCTGAAATTGTTTAAAATTATTTCATTAGTTTAACGTTGACTGTTTTTAGGTTTGTTTAAAAATGACACAATGATTTGCTTTCCGTCAGTAATATTTCTGTTAATAATTTAGTTACAAGAAATATGTATTTGATGCCACATTTAAGAAAGGCAAGTTTAAATACAAGAGAGAAATTTTCCAACTGCATGCGACTCAGCCAGTCTTCATAAAGTACTTTCATGTTAAATAAAGTCATCCATATAGACCGCATTATTAAAAAGCGAACCCATCATAAATCTAAAGTGTGGCTTGGATGTTGAATTTATATAAACAACGTATGTGCCAGCAAACGTTCTTGCATTTAAAAAGCAATTTCAATGTTTAATGCTGAACAAATATCAAACTTAGTCAAGAAAATTGAAAATGTTGCATAAACAGGTTGATTTTCTTATTGTTAATGTATGAATCTGAATTTTCGTGTTACATATGTCTCCACCAAACAGATATGATTTATATTCTGAAGGTACCATGTTCGAGTCTCGTACTAGATACCCTCTATTTCCAATGATATCATCCTCACTTTTGCTGACAGTCTGCATCCGAACTCCATTATATCATGGCAAATGTCACAGTGGTTTCAAACCGTTCACATTCACCGAACGTAATTATTTTATAATCCCTTTCGTTGCCATATAACCAATGCAATAAATTCAGTGTGTTCACTGATAAAGTTGAACGCAACTGTAACTTCCTGGCTCCCAAATGAGTCTGCCGCTCCAAGGTTCATCCGACACGATTATCGCTTCAGAAAAAAATAAAATAAACCTAACCTATTTTGTACCAGTTCCTGTCGAGAGCACAGAAGTGACAGTCGCGTTAAACCTTAACAGTGAACGCAATTAATAACATCATGAAATAAACCACAGTTCTTCGGAAACGTAATTTCCCGTTTTGCTTATATTAATACTATATCGTTTGGAGGTATCGTTCTCGCAAGCTAGTCGTAACGTCATATATAAGCATTTAGGTAAATTAACACGCTTTATAAAGCAATCGCGCGCCCAGGGAACTAGCATTGTGGGCAACAGGTCCATACGTTCTTGTTTCTGTGTAATGGACGCAACAAAAGCTCTTTCAGGATATTCATGATTCCAAATTAACGAAACCGTATTAGCGATTGTCGTTTGTTTATATGTCATCGGTCTCTCCTTCCGATGTATCATTTTCGGATATCAATATTATAGACAGTTATCGATTCTAGATAAACACAGTACGAGCACACGACACAAACATACGCCATTACAGCCAAGGAATCTTAGTACTGAATATCATTGTCTTCTTGGATATTGCACCGAGTAGTCTGATAGAAGTTTGCCTCCGTCATACTAGTCGCCTTCACAACTTCAAATCTCACCATCGCACTAATATTGTTTAACGAAGCATAAATACGAGGCGATGACAACTGAATATTTGGTATTTCTGTAATGATATAATAATTATACGGAAGTCAAATGTATTAATGACCTACTTGCACTCCGTTATTTTAACTGCAGTTTCGCTTTAATAAATTGCTGGATGACGTCTTCGTTCGTGTCCGCTGATTACAATTCCTTCCCATTTTCAGTTAATTTCATAGAGATTTCTAGTGAGCCATGGATATGAAGCAGAATTAATCTCACGTAAATTCCTCTTGCTTTGCTGAACCAATGAAACAAGTCTAATATAGTTTCCCTACTGCACGATCTTGTCTGTAAAGTATATATGCTTTTGTGTCATACAGTTTCTGCTGGTACCGTACTTAATCCGAACCACAGTCATTGGAGCCACGATCTCTCGAATGCCATATTGAATACGAAATCTCTGATGTTCAGCACAACGGATTTCATGCAGACTCCTAACGTCTGTACACAACCATTCAGTATATGAACCCCATATTTTGCCATATACACAGTCAAATGATGTACTTGGTAATAGAAGTTGTGAATTTATATGAAAAGTAGACGAGCAAATTATTTTATTTTTAAGGGCGAGAATTTCTGAAGTATCACATTCCGTTTAAATCACACAATCTTCTTTCGACTTTTGTACTAGCGAATTAACAAGCAGAACTGTAAAGGTAAAAACCAATGGTTATAAAACATCTCCTTGAAGATGTCTGTCTTCTAGGTTGTAGCGCCGTGAAATGTGAGTAGAAGATTACCGACGTTCATAAATACTTGCTACCTCCATTAACAGGACAATGAGACAGTAAGTACCTCTGAAACGTCGGTAAACTTCTACCGCTGCACACGACGCAAGAACCAAGTTGGCCGTCTTCATACTCGCCACACTGAAAATTTAAAATCTCATTCGGCATCTGTTTGTTTCAGACCAGTCCTAATGTAAGAAATAATTGTTTGCCTATAAGAATTTTATCATAGACTTCATTTCAAACGCGTTTTAATTAACATGACAATAAAACAACATGACTAAAAACCGACCTCATTTTAACCTGAACCGAGGGCTTCTGAATGTTAAACAGCGTCAGATGCAAAACTTGTCTCCGAAAAGCGGACCGAACGTAAGAAGAGACCGCAGGACTACGTTCTTGCAAAATTGAAGCTGTAGTCACGTTTAATACACTTCGCCTTGCTCGTGGAATTTAATCTGCCGATCCATGTTCTAATTTTCATCGTCATAATACACAGAGTAAAACCATCAAAACAAGTTTTGAATGCAGCTTGAAATTTAGTTTCCTTGACGTGTCTACCTCTGCATTCCGTCAGTGAGAAAAGTGACGTCACAAAGTTTCGGGAACAGCTGTTCAATGCAAAAAAGGATGTAGATTAAAAGCGAAAAGCGATAAGCTACCACGTTCCCCTGAAATGTCAACATAATACTACACAAAACACATCAAACAATTCAAATGCAATGCAGTTGTAGATGATGAACGTATAATCTGCGCTCAGCAAAACTGACTATACAGACTGAAGGTTGCTTCAATGGTTCATTGACCTCATATTGAAGGATAAAAACATCATGCGTTGAAGTTAAAACACAACACTTAGAATATATAACTCCATGGAGCAGAGACCACGTTGGGAAAATGACAGTCGCTTAGCTGGCGAAGTAACCCATGGAACCCAAAACTTAATTAACTTACTCGTAAGAGCCAGCCATATTTTTTAACCTGAGCCAGATGATTCTAGCCCGCAAACCTCATAGCCTGT